GTGTGAGGTACTAGGTTGGATCCTCGGCACCACATAAAAATAAATAAATAAAGGCATTGTGCCCATCTACAATTAAAAATTTAAAAATTAAAAAAAAGATAAACAAATGCCAAGGGAAGGACAGGAAGGAAAAGTCTTACTAGTTGGCAGTGACATTCTTGCCACCACAATAAACAAACAAATAAACCCATGGAGGTCTGTGGGAGGGGAAGACATCACAGGAACTTGTGGGGGGGGGCAGAGGGGATAGCTCTCCTTACTTCATGGGAACCAGCCCCTCGCCTAGTAGGTAGGTGGTTCCCATGTTGGGGCCTCAAGTTGGGAAACCATCCCTGGAGCTCCAGTTTTATGAGCACATCCCAGCTCCCCAAGGGTGTAACTCTGCTTGTTAAAGGGAGAAATTATCCTTTTCCATACAGAAGGGAAAAAATAACGATTAGCTTTATTTCAGTTTTTGGCTATACGAGGAATGCAAACAAATCAATGCAAATCGAAGGAAAAATGACCACATTTCCCTCTTTCCTCCCAACAGAACAACTCCAAAGATCATGAGCAGGATTGGTGGGGATGTCCTGCTCCAGGGGAGTGGATCTCTTCTCTGGAATGATTTCACATACACTGGCTGGGACATATTTTGTATTTAAATTACTGCAAAATTATTGCAACATGAAATTTTCTCCTTTACCCATTCTTCTCAGGCACAGTATTTGAGAAAACTTGTCTGTTCTCAATGCTTCTGCACAATATCTTTCTTTAAGAGAATTCTAGAAGGCCCCAGGCTGCCTCCCAGGGACAAGGCTAAGGCCCTGTTGGGTAGCTGGGAGGAAACACTTGGGGCAGCCACTACTCAGGAACTAAGGTTCTGCTGACTCTCACCTGCTTGCTGAAGTGGTTGAATGACCAAGTGCTGTCACAGTCCAAGGACAGGGCTGCAGGACCAAAAATGAGGGAGAAATGGGGGCAACTCTTCAGCTGGTTGTTCCCAGTAACTCATGGAGTGAGGGCTCAGGCCCATGACTGTCCAACATTGTGTTGGCAGTCAGCCCAGGAAGTGGGGGTCTTAGGCCCACACTCCTTGACCTGACCTTCCTTTTCCCCCAGATTTTCATGGGTTGGGTTAAGGACAATTTCTTTTATTTTCTTCTGATGCTGGGGATGGAACCCAGGGCCTCACGCCTGCTAGGCAAGTGCTCTACCACTGAGCTTCACCCCCAGCCCAGGATAAGAACAACTTGTTGAAAGCTGGAAACCTTCATTACTAGTGCCAAAAATGTTTTCAATCACAATATGAAGCTGGCATTCAGTGATCTGGCCCTGGTAACATTTGTAAAAAATATTTTATTTTTCCAAAACATTTTTAAAAATAGTTAAATAAAATGAAATGCAGCTGGGAGGAAGATATTGGTTGTCAGCTGCTACTGCATCCTTTTTATTTTTTCCCAAGGAGAGAGACATGTCATCTGGACTGTTGGAGAGAGACCTGAAGACAGGCTGGGAGCCACACCTTCCATGTTTAAAAGGGCTCTCTCCTGCTTCTTTCATTGCCTGCTGGGCCAATCACCTGTGTATAGGAGACCCTCATTCCTTTGGTTCCTGCTCAGCACCCTCACACTCTAACCTTTATCTGGAAAATCTCTTATCCTTGACAATGGCTTTGTGGAGGACGTCCCCATGGCATGTTCTGGAGCTGTTTTGCTGGGACAGCAGATCTGATGGAACTGGCTTCAGGGTCAGGGAGGGTGGAGGCCGATATAAATGTTCTGGAAGCATACAGCTTACTTATATTAACCTGTACCTGATGAGTGTGTGAGAACAGACAGAGGATTTGGTCTAACACTTAAAATTAAAAATGAGTGCATAATTATGTTGGCTCACAAGATAGCTAGGAAATGACCTTGGGACTATCTGGTCAACGCTCAGTTTACCTGGAGGTTTATGACCCCTTCTCCAAGATGCACACCAGTGACCAATATGAGAGAGCTATGTGCAACTACACAGGCTTGACTCAAACCCTTTGAGCTATTGTCCTCCCATGGATCCTGCAGATTGGTACAGTCCCACCTTAGAGAGAAAGTGAGGCATTGACTAGTTTAAAGTGATGTGCCTAAGGATGAAATCAGGAGAAGCAGCAGGGTGATGGTTACACATGAATGTTAACCCCGTATTCACTGATGCACACTCCCTACTATTCTCTCTTGGCTGGGCAAGGACACCAACAACCTTGTTCTCATTTCACACAGCTCTAGGTTTGGAGTATACCATAACTGCCCGCTATGGAGACCATTCAAAGCAACCTGTAGTTTTGTCAGGCCCATTATTTATTGTTGCAGGGAGATCCCCAACTCAGATACTGCCTAGTTTTGAGGCCTGGGCCACCTCCGTAGCTGGCCCACCCTTGGTTGAAACCAAAGGTTGAAATCCACACTTCAGAATCAGCTGTCCATTTTGATTCAGAAATCCTATGGGGGCCTGAAAAGCACACACACATCATGGAGACAGTCTCCTTCTCACACTGGTCTGGGTAGCAGGTGGCTTGTTGGGCAGAGCAAATTAACTTACCTACAATAGCTGAAATTCTAATTCCTGTTTGAGCCCCACCTGTAAAAGGACCTTAGAGTAGGAAATAAAAGAGGAGCTGCCCCCAAATCACTACCTGGTGAAGCTTAGCTGTGTGACGCTGTCTGGGAGCCTTAATGGAACAGCTATGTGGCTCTAGGCCCTGGTCTAACTGGCTCCCTGGCTTAGCAGGTGACACAACAGGTATTCTTAAGAGGGCCAGTCTGGCCAGCTTATGAAGTGAAATGAGATGGCACATTCTCTCTTTTCCACTTTTGAATGTGATTCCTAGGAAGGGACTCTGAGAAGATTCAGTGTTCAGGAGAGGTTTTGGAACTATCAGCTCTGGCAGTTTGTTGGGAGGAGAGGGGGGACTTCTAAGGTTGCCCCAGTGGCCTACCTTAAACAAAATCGCTATTTCCTGCCATCAGGTGATGCCATCAATTGTCCTCAAATCCTGCTTTTGGGTGCTCTGGTCCAGAGAATCCCTCTGGAAACAAAAGGTGACAGGGACCAGGTGCCCATCAACTCTACTTGGGCCATGATCATCTTTCCTGTCAGGAGTTGAAGGCCATCATATATTCCCACTTGAGCCGGTTATAAGATTTTATCCACTGGGCACAGTGGTATCCACCTGTAATCTCAGCTACCCAGGAGGCTGAGGCAGGAGGATTGCAAATTTGAGGCCAGCTTGGACAACTAAGTGAGACTATTTCAAAATCAAAAAGCATGCCTGTAATCCCAGTGACTCTGGAGACTGAGACAGGATGATTACAAACTTAAGACCAACCTCAGCAACTTGGTGAATCCCTAAGAACTTAGTGAGACCCTGTTTCAAATTAAAACATTAAAAAAGGCTGGGGAGGAGCTGGGGTTGTGGCTCAGTGGTAGAGCGCATGCCTAGCATGCTTGAGGCACTTGGTTTGATCCTGGGCACCACATTAAAACAAACAAATAATAAATAAAGGTATTGTGACCATCTACAACTAAAAAAAAAAAAAAGCGGGGTTGGGGATGCTGGGGAATGTGGCTCATAGGCTAAACAACCCTGGGCTCAATTCCTAGTACCCCCCCCCCCCCCAAAAAAAAATAGAGCTGGGGATGTAGCTTAGTGGAAGAATGCTTTTGGGTTCAATTTCCAATGCTGAAAACGACAACAAAAACAATGTCAGAAAATAACAACAAAAAGATTTTGTCCTACTCTTTCCTACCTACCATGCCCACCATTGTCCTGGCCAGGCCCCTTTTCCTTCTGGAGTAGCTGGAACGCTCTGGCTGCAGCTTCCATTGCAGTGACTGACTCAAACTGGTTCCAGGTCTGCAAGGTTCAGTTTCATGTTCCTGTTGCTGGTCTGTCCCTTTCTGCTGCTTCCTTACTTCTTAGAAAGGAGCCATGATCATGAACTCAGAGATACTGCTATCCACTGACAGATCAATATACCACAGATGGGGTAAATGGCACTGAAAGGTGCCTTGGAGGACTCTCAGAGAACAGAGGGAAAAGAGCTGGTCAGCACTCTTCCTTTTGTTCTCTTGTGGATGATTCCAGGCCAAAAGGTGATGTCAACCCCCTCTGGGACTTTATGCACTGAATGAACTTGGGGATATTGAAACATGTGAATGATTTGAGCTTGAAGACTGCAAATCTGAAGCCCCTGGGCTCCCTGGCCAGCTGGAAGGAAGGCTGCCAAGAACCTAGGATTGCTTAGACTTTGAGAATCTCTATTTCAAAGAATATGCTTTCCTACAAGATGCTACTGAGGCTCAATTATAAAGGGCAGATTTTTACCTAATGTGGGTGTTTGCCTCAGATAGTGTCTCAAGTGACAGCCTGAAGCAGAATATGAAGAACAAAGAAAAGCACAAACACACAGACATTTTGTGTGTGTGTGTTTGTGTATGTGGTACTGGGGACTGAACCCCCAGGTGCTTTACCACTGAGCTACATCCTCAGCCCTTTCTAGTTTTAATTTTTTTAATCTTTATTTATTTATTTTAACTAGACACAACATCTTTATTTTATTTGTTTTTATATGGTGCTGAGGATCGAACCCAGGGCCTCGCACATGCTAAACGAACGCTCTACCTCTGAGCTACAATCCCAGCCCCTCTATTTTTTATTTTGAGACAGGGTCTCACTAAATTGCTTAGAGTCTTGCTAAGTTGCAGAGGCTAGCTTTAAACTTGTGATCCTCCTGCCTCAGTCTCCCAAGTTGCTGTGATTACAGGTTGTGTGCCACTGCACCAGGCTAAAGAAGTTGTATTCATTAAATAACCCTATACACACCCATATATACACTAGATATAAGATTCACACAGCTAGCACCTATCTAGAAAGGCAGGTAGTGATATGAAAATGTATCCTGGCTCATTGTCAAGTACACTAAAATGACTCAAGAAATACACTTTATTTTAAAAACTTTTATTGCGCATAAAACAGTCCATTTCCCTTTGTGGGTCAGATATTACCACCTTTTAACTTTTTTTTTTTTTCTTGGCAGTGCTGGGGATGGAACCCAGGGCCTTGTGCATGCTAAGCACATACTCTACCACTGAGCTACACCCTCAACTTGTAAATTTGTTTTAACTCTTTCCTCCTTTCTGTTCCATTGAAAAAAATTCTTCTCCTTTGAAAGTGTTAAGAATAGTCTATCATTGCTGGTCAAAATCAGCTTTAGAGTGGCTGCTAGGGGCAAAGGTCCAAAGACATTAACGGGGTTGGGATCCCACACACAGCTGCTGGCCATCCTCAAACTTGGGAGTTAGGGGCCAACTTCTGCCCACCAGGGATGCTGAACATGGATCCCCAACTATACATAAACTTGTATAGGTTTATTCAAATAAACTCCAACATTTTGTGTGTGTCTGCATGTATATATACCCTGCTTCCCTGCCTTCAAGGGAAGACTTAATTCTTGGGAAGAAAATCTGCTTGGAGCTGCATGCATTTCCAGAGTGGAAAACATTTCATGTAGCAAGTCACCAGATCACTAAAATCAACTGCAAACTAGTGGTTACAAACTGGGAGCTTTTTAAAAATTTTTTAATTTTTATTTTTTAAAGTGCTCTATGAGAACCTGAAGCCTTAACACTGTCAGGAATAGAAAACTGGGAGGCATCTTACAGGCTGGTTGAGGCTTCTCTGCCATCTTTAGCCCCCTTTTGAGTGACAATAGGAGCAGCATGTGCTTTGAAGGATGAAGTGATGCCAAAGTTGGCTGGGACTGGTGTTTCTGCTGCACGAGGCCATTTGAAGCACAGCTCTACTGCCACATCCCTTTTGAGTCACTTTGGAAACCAATTCCTAGTTCTGGGTTTAGCAGGAGTGACAGGGACAGAGGCAGCTTTGCTGGGGCTTGACTGTTGTGGTGGCATTCAAGAGAGAGGGTTAGTAAAAGGCCACAAAGGCCATGACAGTCCTATCCCAATTTTACTGGAAGATTGGGGTGTGAAGATGGAATCTAGAACACCCTCCTCCTCACTTTTAGGAACAGAGAATAAAAATGGAGATGTTGCCTCACTAGAAACCAGGAAGTGAAGAAGTCAGAGTTGTGATGGTTGCTAGCAGCACATCTGGATTTCCACAGGAGAAAGATGGCAGCTTTTAGAGAAACTGAAGAATAGGACAGATTCTTTGCTCCATTGTAGTTAGAATGAATGTTCGAGTTGAGGCACAGTGTGGTTCCCATGGGAAGTCCAAGGTCAGTATGGACCCTTGGCCTGTCCTGCCCCACAGACATCTGAAGAATTGCCAGGCCTATTCATTCTACACCGGCCCTTCCCACAAGGAGTCAGCTGCAGAGCCCCTTCGAGACTGGCCTGGCATTGATGGAATCATCTCTGGGATGACCATGTGCTAATTCTTTTGATAGGCAAGCACTCCCCAGCCCTTGACCTTCTTAGTCAGTGGCTTGATGAATTGTACACACCCGTTCTCTGGTTGAACCATGAAAAATGAACAGTTTGACTTGTAGAGCTAGTTACATGGTACTTATTAGCCCTTACCACCTCAAGAAGATTCTAATTCAGGGGAGGGAAGACAGGGCTGGAGTTGCCTGTCTGTGAGAGACCAGCCTAAATGTTGATACTGGCAGCAGCACATGTTTTCCTGTCTGGCTGGACCTTCAGCTAGGCTGAGGGAATTCCTATCAGCCAGACAGATCACAGGAGCCACTTGACACCCTCTCAGCCAGCTAGAAGAGGGCTTATCCCCAAATCTTCTTTAACATATGCGTGGAAGGACGTAAACCCTGGCACCAAGATTGAGAAAACAATGGGTCCTACAGAGCCAACATTCCAACAGCGAGAGACCAGCGTGGCATCTTTGCCTTTCAGCATGGCTGCTGACAGTGCTGAAATGTATCCTTGACAAGTTAATGGTTCTGATGTTAAAGTCCAGTGCCACAGCAAGAGCAGGGTGCCTGTGGAGGAGGAGAGGGCTGGACACAGTCACAGGGGGACAGAAAAGCTGTGAGCAAGGACCCAGAGGGTCTCAAGCTGCTCCCTGATGCCAACCAGATCAGTAACACTATGAAGAAGGCTAATAAATAGATGCATATAACAAGCGTTCAGTCAGTTTTGAATCAGGCTGTGTAGGACTTAGCAGACCTCTGTTACCCCTATATGTAGGTGCCAGGTGATCAGTGTCTCTAGTAAAGATATAAAAATGAAGTTGCTTCTTTTCAAGTATTAAAAAAATAAGTTAATTGACAAAAAAGATCTGAAGTGGCTGAGCATCTTGCCAGGTCCTCAGCTTCATTTCAATGTGCAAACACAGGAAAAAACACCAAGGAAGAAGGGAATCTCTTGCCCCACTGTGAAGCGCTGAATTGTGACAATGCCTGTCTGTCAATGGGGGGCTTGATGTGTAGGGTCCCCCCCGTCCCCAAAGTTAGTACTTTCCAGTGTCAAAATGGTTGTGAACTAAAAGCAAAATGCAGCAATCCATGGGCTTCGGGCCTCAGCCAGAGAGAGGCCTGGGGCATTTGGCCACTCGGAGTCTAGTGTGTTGTGTGGGGGCTGGGGACAGACCCCTCTTGCATCCTCATAATTTGCATAATGAACTCAGAGCCTGCCTATCCCTCAGCTTCCCCTGCAATGCTGGGGTGGTCACTGCCCTGACCGGTCATTGCCCCTCTCCCATACTCTATCCACATCTTGCTTGTGGGGTGTTTTTTTCTTTCTTTGGTGGTGCTTCAGGGAGCATGAAGAAGGCAGCTGCCCTGTTCTGCAGGGTGCTCTCTGTAGTGGCGGTGTCTTTGAAGAGAAGGAGCAGCTCCCTTCTCTTACCAAACATGCTGGCGGAAGGAAGGGGCACCAGGCAACAGGTCCTCAGGGACTGTGCGGAGTTCCCCCACTGCACCATACATCTCTTGCTCTGCTTCTCTTTCTTGAGTGGGAAGTCCAGGTGGGTCTCTTCTCAGGAGGCGGAGTCATCTCAGATAATCATCATCACCTGGGGTTTCACCACAGCACATGAGCATGTGGATGGCTGAATGCAAACTCCCAGGAAGTGCCAGGCTTCCTTGGACCTTAGATCCAGGTGGTTTGGGAGAACATAGCCAGGTGGATGCTGACATTCCAAGCAGTGTAACGGCCACAAACTCAGGACCAGTTCAGGCTGAAACCCTTTGACAGCATAGCCGCCTCCAGGTCCTTGTCCTCCTCTTTTTCCCGGAGCCGCTGCTCCTCCAGCAGGGCCACCAGAGAGTCTCTCTGCTCCACAACTTCCAACATCTCGTTCAAGATCTTCTTCTCCTCTGACAACTCCTCCTCGGTCTTCAGGTGATCTGAGGAGTAGCCAAAGTCACAAGGTGTGTGGCTTGGGAGGTGGAAGCCCATACCAGCCTTTCCCTGTGCACCTCCCCTCACCCACTTACCTTCCACTGCCATCCGCTCCCGCAGTTCCTGCTGTAGTCGGCTCTGCCGATCTTCCAGCTCTAACTCTCGGGCACTGAGATGGGGAAGGAGACAGAGACAATGACTTGGGGGGCAACTACTCACCCCACCAAGTTAGGATTGGTGTATCTATGACAGACCCAGTGCCTATGTTCCCTCATGGATAGGCCCCCAAATCTCAGACTACTCACAAAATCATCAACTCCGACTCATAGCGCACCATGGCATTTTTTTCTTGCACCAGCTTGAACCACTCTTGCATCAGCTTAGGGTCATCCTTCTTGCCCATGCCTGCCGAAAAAGACTGTGTGTCAGGCAGCAAGGGAGGGTATCTTGGTCTCCCCTGGCCCACAGGAATCATCACACTGGGGCAAATGTGCAAAGAGAGCCGAGCAAGATGCTGCCGGAACACTCCCAAGCCAGGTCCAAAGTTTGCCTACAGCCTTGGGGGTGGGGGTTGGGGGGCAGATAATGATAGGCCCCTGCATTGTGCAGACCCCAGGGCCTAATGGAGCCTATGCTTTTTGTCTGTTCTGTTCAGTCCAGGCCCTGCCCTCATCCCTGCCAATAATCCTGGCTGGTTGTGACTGTTCCTTCCTCATAGGCTTGTTGATACTTTTTCTGCTTAGAAGCTTTCTTTTGTGTCTTAAATTGCTTTGTTCTTCCTTCTTAATTTTTTAAATTCATTTAATATTTATTTGGCACTTGCTATGTTCTGGGTCTCCTTGGAGGAGAAAACCAGTCTAATAAAAATGGCAAATTTAAATTTATAAACTACACTTTACTCTTTCACCCTCATTTAACCCAGTTCTTTCCTAGGCTGCTGCTCTTCTCTGGGCCACTAATATTGAGGCCTCATAATTGCTTTGTATCCTAATCAGAAAGACACCCTTTCTTCTTCTTTTTTGTTTTGGTAACAGGGATTGAACCAGGGGTGTTTAATCACTGAGCTACATCCCCAGCCCTTTTTATTTTGAGATGGGGGTCTTGCTAAGTTGCTCAGGCCCTCACTAAATCACTGAGGCTGGCTTTGAACTTGTGATTCTCCTGCCTCAACCTCCCCAGATGCTGGGATTATAGGCATGTGCCATTATGCCTGGCAAGAAACCATTTCTTAACATGTGGCTGGACATACTTCTTGACAAACACTCTAGCAGGGACTGTGTGGTAGACACAGGGCATCCAGGATAGCTGTCAGCAGACCATCAGCAGACCCGCACACCCTAGAGACTGAGGAAGATGGCCACCCCCTGTTCTGATCCAGTCCCACCACCAGTTTTTGGGCCTGGTACCTGACTGCTGACTCAGGCCAACCTGAACCAGCACAGGACTAGTCTCCATAAGGAGCAACACAACCCTCTGGGCTTAACTGCAGCAGGAGGATAGAGGAAGAACCTTCCAAGGAATCACACCATCCAAGGAGGAAACAAACTTCTTTTCCTTGGAGCATAAATCTGCTCATGGCCAAAGTTTGGTCCTGCCTAAGAGACAGACTATGTCAGTGGCTCTTTAATATTTTGGGGTTACAAACCATTTAAAGCATTTCATGAAAACTAAGGACTTTTGCTAGAAAAATGCTTATATATATGCATAATTATTATTATTTTGTGGTGCTAGGGATGAAACCCAGGACCTTAAGCATGCTAGGGAAGTGCTCTACCACTAAGTTACACTCCCATTTCAGCATCAAACAATTTTAGATAGAATTTCAGGGTACTCAGGGGCTTTCTGAAGTACATCTATAGGTCTCAGGTTAAGAGGCACTGAACTGGGAAATCTCTCAAAGTATTCTCTATTTTCTGAGTTGCTTGGTTGGATGTCCCAGCACAGTGATTAGTGTTATAGCCCAGGAGTATGTACTATGTACATCCTCAGGTGGGTGGCTCTCAGAATTGCTCCTTACTCATTCTTGCCCGCATTCTACCATCTGGCATTCTTGCACACTAATCAAAGACAAAGCTCTTGTGATGTTGTCTTCTTGACCCACATAAGGCCTAAGCCAGTCAGCCAGTGGCCCCACTCTAGAGAGGCAGAGATGCACTGCGTTCACACAAGCAGGAGTTAGTGTCTGCATTGTGCCCCAGTGAACATACAACTTTGCTCCTGAGGTGGCATGCTGTCTCTGAGCTCTACTCTCAAGGATGGAAGCTCCCCACTCCACAACTCCTGGCCTGTGGAGCCTGCGACTGTGCAGTGCAGCATGTGTGTCTGTGGGCCTGAGCTCTCCTCACCCGATCCAATAGACTTGGGTCTTTGGCTTTTAAACCAGCCTACAGCTCAGTTCCATGCATTCCTTCCGGAGCGTCTCTGCACAGTGTGCCCACATGGCCATGAAGATGGAGCCCTGAGACATGCAAGCTTGTCCAGTGTGGCAAGCTGAGGGCACACCGGGAAGTCTCTCCCTCCTTCCCACCTTCCCATGTATAAAGACAAAATTTCCACCAGGGTACATCTGAACACTGCTCATGAGCCATGGTGGAGCTTGTTCACAGCCGATGAGTAAGGGGATGTGGTGGGGAGGGTGAAGATCACATGTGAGAGCCATGGAGAGCAGAGTAAGAGATTAGCAAGGGTTAGTCATGGCCATACTCCCCCTTCCCCTGCCCACATGCCTTGTCAATGACATTCTTATCACCACAACAGACTTCAGTCAGACCAAAAAATAAACACCAAAAAACAAAACAAAACACACTCAGCAAGACACAAAGTAGAGAAGTTTGCTTTAGTGTTTGTTTTGGTAAAGAACTTGGGGGCATTTGTGTAGATCAGTCTTTGTAAGGACAGTATTCCTTGACTCCGTCAATACAAATCCATCTGGTGGACCTGATGCTTAAAGGCCCAAGTAAAAATGGTTATGGGGGATGGGGGGAAATGCTGCAGAAGGTCTGCAGGTTGTAGGAAGTCTGTAGACTTCAGTCGCCGGGCCTGGAGGCTCTCCAGCTTCCCTCTGTACCCGGGTCCTCCCCTCAGACAGTCAAAGGGATACTGTGCCTTGTAAGAAACTGCCACATATTCATGACATTCTAAAATAGGACTGTCACATATCAGAGAGAAAGAGAAATCGTTGGGCTGTGGCTCCCTGTGGAACTAATGTGGCTCTGACCCTCTGAGGCAGTGGGATGAGGCGGGTGAGGTTACGTTACCTTCCTGGACACAGCAAGGGCAGAAGGAGAGAGGTCTACGCCGTGGAGTCCCGCCACTGGGCTCAACTTCAAAAAGGACCAAACAAGGAAGAGGAGGAGGAGGAAACGGAGAAAGACAAAAAAGGAAGAGGAAAAGAGGAGGAGGAATTTGGAAGTGGAAAGGGACAGGGTGAGGGTGAAATAAAAAACAAGCAGAGGACAAAAAGCATAAAAAGTGAGAAAGGAACAACAGGAGGAAAAGAAAAAATACAAGAAATGGAGAAGCAGAAACAGGGGAAACAAAGTCTACAAATGAATTAAGTCCTTTTTTCAGCACAGAAACTGAACAAGAGCGGGCTCAGGCATCAGGAGCAGTCACTGATATGGGTGTGACTTGAGGGAAGGATGGTGGGGTCCTCCTAAAGATGCAGGTACTCCTTTCATGAAGCAGAAGCTCACAACCAAGTGGGCTGTGCCTTCCTCTTCTATTCCTTACTGGTAGCATGTGAAATTTAGGTGGCCTTCATGGGTGTTGAGCTCCCTCCTCAAAAATGCCCAAAGCCCCTGGGTATGTCTGCCTACCTCTGTAAAACACTGTCTTGAATATGGGGGTAATATTGTTTCTAGGTAGGAAAGTGGTGCCAACCAAACCTAAGTGAAATATTCTAAGATGTGCTCAAAATTAAATTAACCTTAGATAAGTCTTAAGGGGCAATGAGCGGTCTGCTACCTTCTGGTGCTGTGTCTATAGAAAGGACCTGAGTCTATGGAGGCAGCACCCTAACTGTTGGTGGGCCTGCAGAGCTCTGGCACCTGCAGTGTTCAAATTCTGAGCCAGGACAATTTTGGGAAAATGTGGACACACAGAAGTGACTTCCATTGGTTTGTATCACTATCCCTTCCACATGCCAGGGAGAGCCAGCCACCCCACCTTTTCTTCTGGCCTTTCCATTTCTTGGAGGGGTTCAGTGTCACAGCTGGGGGATGCTGTTGCATTTAGGATCAAGAGGGGTGTGCTGACAGGACAGGCCAATAACTCACACTAATGATGTTGGTAAGAGTGGGGCAACTGAGAGGAGACAGTGTGCAGAGAGACATCTCCAGACCAGTTGTAGGGGAGACCTGATGGTCACTCAAGGAAGAGGGAGAGGAGCTGAGCAAGGGACCATCACAGAACCACAGCAGCACACACAGGGGACAGTGAAGTCCATGGACAGGCTTTGGTGGGGATCAAAGGGGAAGGGCTGCATGGGTGGCTTATAATGAGAAGGGAGTTTAGGTCAACAGGAGGGCCAAACAGACAAACCATTCTACTTTGCAATGGAATAAATGCAGGGATCACTTTTTTTTTTTTTTCTTCTCAGACCTTCGCCATTCTGCACAGTGCTTTGTACAGTCAATTTGATACCGGGTACAACTTTAATACGAAAGCCAGATACAGAAAACGGGTGTGTGAAATGCTGATTACATTCAGTGTTCTCAATAGATCAGACCATGACCAGCTGATGCCTGGTCACATGGGAGGAGGATTTCGTTCTTTAAAAACTTTGTTTGCCTTAGAGCAGACTTATATTCAAATTTCTTGGTTTCAAAATGTAGAGTCTGTGTTGAGGTTCAGAATACCTGGATAAATCCCTTAAATAAAATGTCAATAAACCACTTCTGTTGCTTCCTAGAACCAAGGTTATATGTGAAAAGGCTGTGTGTTGTGCAGTAGAATAGCATCCATATTGATTAGCAAGGACAGTGACACAATATACAATCAATACACATCCAAAATCAAGTAGGAACAAGCATATGCATGTATGTGTGCATTTCTACTTTTTGGACATCACAAAATATAGCCTTTATCTCCTTTTATATAGATCACATTCCTCTTATACCCTTTCTGATATAGTGTACAACTTGAGATAACAAGATATTGAAAACAGAAATTAGGAAACAAAATTAGAAAAAGGGGGCATCAGGTAAAGCATGTGTTTAAAAAAAGAAAAGGAAAGGGGGAAGGCACTGTGATTACAAAAGGCAGAAGGAAGGGTATAGAAGACTGGAAGAGCTGGTCCCTCTTATCCCTCAAGGAGGAGGTGAGTAGACTGGTGCTTCAGGGCTGGTACTTTTTTCTTTAGTGTCCACAATTTCCACAATGAATTTGTACTGCTTTTATAATCAGAAAGGACACCCAGTGGATATTATTTTAGGAAGAAATAAAAGGGAAAACCCAATTGAATGGGGAGTTCCACACCGCAAGAGAATCTGAAAGGACACTCAAATGAGGCACAGGGGCACCAACTGATAGAAGTTTCTTTGCCTTTTATGGAGATGTGAGAAACAGATGATCTGGTTCATTGATTCTAAGAGCAAAGGCATCACCCCAAATAGAAGACCACCCCTACCCCTGGCCCTGTGCTGGGGATGCAATCCAGAGCCAAGCATATGCTATGCAAGCACTCTACCTCTACCACTCTATCTGAGCTACATTGCTAGCCCTTTTTATTTTGAGACAGGGTCTTGCTAATTTTACCAGACTGGCCTCAAACTTGTGATCCTCCTGCCTTAGTCTCCTGAATCATTAGGATTACAGTGTATGCCACTATGCCTGGTTTGTTTTTTCTATATTTCTATCTTCATCCTACTTTCTCATAAAGGTCTCTAAGATACTTTATCTCAACATGCTGTATCTTCTCCCCACACCCTACAAGTTAACAGAATAAAATGTTTTGGTAGCTAGAAAAATTAAGCAAACAAACCAGTTCTAAAGATATGGAGCATGGCTGTTCATCTGAAATGAAGACAAACCCCACTTTACATTTTTAGTACTTAAAATCCAAAAGGCCCTAACCCTGAGGCTGAGAGGTAGAAAAAGGTTTAGTGCCTTTCTTTTAGGAAGTAAGGTGATAATGAAGTCTGGTGGGGCCAAGAGCAAGGCCTAACTTTACTCACAGCCCAGAAAGCCTAGAGATAACTGTGCTGTGATGGGAGCTGACCTAAGGCTTTGTACTCCCGGTTCAGTCATTTGATTCTGCCTGGTTTTATTTAGCCCACTGGCTTCTACACTGGTGCTAATATCAGAAATAACTAGAAATACCTTAAAAAGATCATGGGCTTATTTTAAGACAAGGTGAGAGACTAATTACTTCATAAAATATGTTTACTGAGTACCTCTAATTAACCAGGCCCTATGAGGCCATCCATTAACTCTATTTTCTTTCTTTTTTTTGGGGGGGGGCGGTACAAGGGATTGTACTCAGGGGCACTCAACCACTGAGCCACATCCCCAGCCTTATTTTGTATTTTATTTAGAGACAGGGTCTCACTGAGTTTAAGTTTAGAGTCTCACTAAGTTGCTGAGGCTGGCTTTGAACTTGTGATCCTCCTGTTTTAGTTTTCTAAACTGATGGGACTCGAGCCATTGCGCCCAACTAACCCCATTTTCTTTAAGAGCCAAAGCCGGGCACAGTGGCACACACTTGCAATCCCAGTGCCTTGGTAGGTTAAGGGAGGAGGAACATGAGTTCAAAGCCAGCCTCAACAACTTAGTGAGACCCTGTCTCTAAATAAAAATATAAAAATGGTCTAGGGATGTGGCTCAGTGGTTAAGTGCCCCTCTGTTCAATCCCTAAATCAGGAACAAATTTCTGTTGTAAGATGAGGGTAGTTGCAGCAGGAAGGCAAGTTGGGTGGCCAGTCTCGAGGAGGACAAAGAGGAAGCGGATGATCAGGGAGCTGGCCTGCAGCTGAGAACTAGCCCCGGGATCTGCCTCATCTTAGAATCCATCTCCGCCATCATCTAGGCCCCTAGATCCTCCCTGTGAGACAAAGGAACCACCACCACATGCTTAAAGCTGGAAAGGTCTCTTTAGCCAGTACCTGGCAGACCCTGGGAGGGCTTATTAATGGGGCATCTAGATCTGAGAAGTCCCAGGGATTATAGCATGTGTCACTGTGGCTGCCTCTATTCTGTCTTGTTCAAGTTACATAATCTGTTGCATTGCCTCAGAACTCACTGGCCAGGTACTAGAGTCTCTGTTCACAGAGACATTATAAGGAAAATAGGCTTTTTATGAGCTAAGTCACCATTTATAACTATAATTCTATGGGAATAAAGAATTCTAAATAATAAGATTGTAAACATTATAGAATATCATCCTTTTATAAGTTGGAAGTTGGCTCATAACATCTTCCTTTTTGATACACTAGAACTTGAGCTAGATTACTCCCTTTTCAGCTATACTTTAGGTAGCTCAGTGGTAGAGAATCCTTCTACCACTGAGCTACCTAAAACCTCATCTTTTTGGTTTTGACTTCCTTAAGGTCTCTGAACAACTTCCTCCAAGGTGTCAGGGACAGGCAATAGGCATGCTTATTTCTTAATTGCATTTTGAGGTTCTATTTTCCTACCACATGATCTCTACTCAGACTGTGTATCCCTCATCTTGTCTGAGGGGACTTGCATTTCTTCTTTGTTTTGCAGAAAGGCACCATGTTTACTGCTAAGGAATCCAATGCCTTTTAATCCAATTCAGTGATGTCCACCTTTTCCTCAGAGACCCCAGGGGTTTTCCCCAGTCATTACTATGCTCAGTCACCCAGATTAAACCTGCAGAGAACAATATGTCCAGAGTTGTAAGAATTTCTTTTCCTTTTTCCTTGTGGTGCTAAGGATAGAAACCAGGGCCTTGAACATGCTGGGCAAGCATTTTGCCAGAATCACACACTCAACTCAGGAGAATTTCTTTGTGATTCTCATGTAAGAAAAAAGAAATGGGGCTATAATTGATTTTTTTTTTTTTTTTTGCAGTATTAGGGATTGAACTGAGGGATGCTCTATCACTGAGCTACATCCTTAGCCCTCCATATTTTTTATTTAGAGACAGAGTCTTACTAAGTTATCCAGGCTGCCCTTGAATTTGTGATCTTCCTGCTTTAGCCTCCCAAGGAGCTGGGATTATAGCATGTGTCACTGTGGCTGCCTCTATTCTGTCTTGTTCAAGTTACATAATCTGTTTTTTTTTTTTTTAAATCTTATTTGTTTTTGGTGGGGTTCTTTTTTTTTTGTCTTTTTTGGAACTGGGGGTCGAACCCAGGGC